CAGATTACAAGAAAGGAAAAGACTTCAATTAATAGGTATGGTAGCTTGCTATGTTTTTCTGAAAAGATTGTATCCTTTTCCCAAATATGCACTGTCCCATTAACATCAAGTTTGGCCATATGACTGGGGTACGTCCTACAGATGGATAATAAACACTTTCTCATTCATTTGACTTTCAGCTTGGTGGCACATTTCTCAGCCAATGCAACGTGAGCAGAAATGGCATACACCACCCCTACACAGAGTCTTAAATGGGCTATTAGATATTTTGCCATTGCTCTTTGCGCTCCATCAGGAGCCCAGCAAGTCTTTGACAGGACTGTCCCATCTGCATGATTCCCAACTGGAGGGAAGAGGATACAAGGAGGGTTCCCAGTAAAGGACTCACAATGGGCAAGCAGTATGAGCAAGAAATAAATGTCAACTGATGTAAAAGAGTACGCTCTTTCAGGTTTTCTGTTACTGCACCATAACGGAGCCTAACCTGACTACAGAATTTTGCCACTGCAAAATTTCATGAAACACTTACATGATCTTCAAGTAAGCCAATGGCAGTCAAAATGAAGAGAATGGGACTGACTAGAGGGATAACTGGAAGGGGGGGGGCAGGGGGTATCCAATATTATATGATAAGAACCATAAACCACCCAAACAAAAACTCAGGGTACAAGGATATGAAACAGGGCACCACATGGAAGTAGGATTGGATGAATTATAAATGAATCTCAAAGAGTAAGATTCTTTTCAACGATTATGGGGAGACGGATTTCTGCTCAGCATAGGAGACTTTCTGACAATGAACTTTCTGGCATCTAACTAACTGAACTTTCTAACATCCCTCTGAAGATGAAAAGAAGTCCTTTGGAAAGCTGGGTTCACATAACTAGAGGTTTTCAAGGGAAGGATGGCTGACTACATAAAAAGGATATTTTAGAATGGGATTCTAGAATTATCTGAGCAAACAGGCTAACAGACTTTTAATGCTGTGTCCAACTCTGAAAACAGTAGTACTGATCATTCTATTTGCTAATATTAACAGCAGTTAGCCATTTATTGAGCTCTCATAATGAGAAAGGTACTATGCTGAGCAAAACAATCCTTCACCATCTTATACGTAAAGAACAAGGGCTCTGCAAGCTTGTCATTTGCCATATATTAATTCACTTGGCAGAACAGAGATATAAAATATCTTCCATCTCTAAAGACAATGAAGAAATGGACTTACAGCAATGTATGTCCCTGCAAAGATAGGTTATATTATAGCCAGATATGTTAGCTTCTATCTGACACCTTGAAGGAAAACGCTCTTGAGTAAGCAACGGTGAAGTTTGTTGTTTTAGTTTTTTTTTAAGAAACAGATGACACTAGCTAGACACATACAATGCAATATGCACAAACACTGAAGAGCTACAGGAGGAATGAGTATGATAAAATGAGTGAGGAATGAGGAAAGGTAAAATATGTGAAGTCATATTACCTTAGAATTTAAAACATTCTACACAGCATCAATACAGTATTACCTCAGCACCAATCAATAGCAATTAAAATGAAATTATCTCATTCTGTGTGAAGTTTACAATGTTACCTTAATTTCTTCAGTGAAATTATTTTTAATAATTACTGCAGAAACTCATCGTTCTGTATACACCAGCCAACTGCTGCCTTTTGGAAAAAAGATCAATCTGTATGACTCCCACTTAGCTATAAGTAAGATCTTCTCAAAGTAGTTAATGGAATTCTTTTTTTAATTAAACAAATGGGTACACTTAAAAATACAAAAAGCAGAAATAATAAATCACTAGTGCAAGCTCTGTGAACATGCGAACTAAGAAAAAATTCATTGGGGAAGCACAAATACCCTACAGGTGATACATTCCTTGATGATCTACTTCAATAACCTCAATTCTGGCTTTCATGCTAGAAATTCAAAACGTCCACAGTGGGAAACCCAGTCCATATCTATCTGAATAGAAGTGAAAAGACATGACAGAAAATTGCCAGGAATAAGATAGTAAAACTGCATTTCAATACATTTAGGTTGTAAACAGATAAGCAAGTTAAAGCAAATGGTCTAAGTTAGGGATGAACAAAAAGGCAAGCATGTGTTAGCCAACCCAGTTTCTGTTGACAATGGATAAAGAGAGCTAAAAGCCACCATTTAAAACGTGTCCTTGCTTCATGAGCAGGGTAATTCTCACTCATACAATAGTTACTTAACGTTTGGTGAAAAGAGAACATTATTTTGAAAGATAAAAGAATTATAACAGTTTTTCAAAAAAATCTCAACTTGTCCATTCTAATTGTAGAAAGGGAGCTAAACAGCTTCATTATTAATTATTTTCTAAAACAAACAGTTTTATTTCAAATAAAGTCTTACAAGAGGATTAACATCAAAATATGCAAAATAATAAACCTATGGGGAAACCAATTATTGAACAGTAACAATAAGCCAAGTATTATGCGGCACACATCATATACATCATCTAACAAAAACTCAAGGTGCAGAGTATCCTATACTTAATTTAAAGGGTGTTTACTAAGGCTTAGTGAGGTTAGGGTAACTGCCCAAGTAACAGAATGTGAAATCAAACCAAAGTCTAACCCAAAGTCATTTAGAACTATCCAAAGCTTTATTGTATGCAGTATGTCACAATGAACTTTCCTGTTTTATTATTTTATTTGAGAGAGAGAGAGAGAGAGAGAGAGAGAGGCGCAGAGAGAGATGGAGACAGAATCCAAAGCAGGCTCCAGGCTCCAAGCTGTCAGCACAGAGCCCAACACGGGGCTTGAACTCATAGATTACGAGCTCATGACCTGAGTGGAACTCAGACACGCAACCAACTGAGCCACCCAGGAGCCCCAATGAACTTTCCTATCAAATAATAATTCAATTTGACCTGGAGTTCAGTTTTTATCACAAATTTAGAATTCATGAGCAAGAATAAATGAATTATCTGCATTTCTCTTCTCTCCCAGTTTTTCTGTTCTTCTCATTTTCTCCCAACCATTTAAAACACAAAGACTGAAAAATTAAAAATTAATTTTTCTAAAAAAAACTAAATTAGGATACTAAAATAACAGAGCGAGCTATTTTTTTAAAGTATGTATTTTGTTCCATATACATTAAAAACATACATTTAAAAGACTGTTTAAAGATGCATTAATTATAATACAGATAGTAAGAGCTTCACTACAGCGTATTTCAGAAACAGTAAAGTTTCCACATTTTCCTGAAGGGACTTTGTGTGTGTGTTTGGTTGGTTTTGCAGTGGGAGAGAGAATTACCAAATATTTTAATTATTTAGGAGCATTCAACTCTCAAAAATCAATGCTTCAAAAATATACTACTGCCTTATTAACAGATGGCTGGCCTCTAGGCCCACTCCAAAGTACAGAGGTAGGAACTGAAGTTCAGAATGAAAAAGAGATAAACTTGGTGGGAAAGGTCTTTCTGAGTGACCTAAACGGTGACAACTTATCAACCCCGGCTTAGAACCCTAAGCACTGACAACTGTGGTGACACTACCCTAACCAGCAGCTTGTATAAGGAAGTGAATAGTACCAGAACGTCCCTTCAGCTCTGATCATCTGACAGTACTACATAAAGACTCAGGAAGAGAAGTGAAAAAGTTTTCCTATGGAAGTTCTTAATTAACCCATTCTTTGTCATCTATTTTTCCCCTTAAGACACTATCCTGAGCCCGGAACATACTGTTATGCCGTAAAGTAAGGAGGTGCTTGAACAATGACAACAGGTCAAAAAGCTATAAAAGCCATCATGAAGGGGCTTCCCCTGGCCAAATCTGGAAGGACTTACACATCTAAATAAACAATGATAGTAATGAATTATAATCCATGGAATAAAACAGAAATCCATTCCTCCAAATTTATATAGCTAAAAAGGGAGATAAAAACATAAGAACACATGTACCTTTAAGAAAATGAAAAGCTCTTCCTTACAAAAGAATGTCCAATAATAAAAGTAGAAGGAATGGTGGCATTTGAATTAACACTACAGCTGTAACAGTACTGACCAATTTAGACAACAGAAGATAACAAGACCAAATATGATAACAGGGTAAGTACACAATCTCATTGTATGTGGCCACAAATTACTTATTACAAAATTAACAATGATCGCAGTTAACAAGTACTTACTAATACACAGTGTAGAAATGTGATGGAATACCACCTCAAACAAGTTGATCGACAATGTTAATACCACTGGCCTTGAAATCACAGACCTCCTGCTTTGATATACTGGGGACATGACATCATGTCTACACTATCACTACAAAATGCATAACCTAAATATAATCATGAAGAAACTATCTCAAATTGAGGGACATTATATAAAATGTATGACCTGAACTCATTCAAAATGTCAATGTCACGAAAGAAAAAGGACGGCTAAGGAACACTTCTAGGTTTGAAGAGACAGGAAAATTAAAATGTATGATCATGGATTGGATCTTGGGGGAAGACGGCTTAAGATATCAAGGACCTAACAGGGACAGTGATAAAGTTTGAGCTGAATTACATATTAAATAATGGCATTTTATCAATGTTAGATTTCCTCATTTTCATAGTTGTACAGTGCTCACATGTGAGGATATCCCTGGTCTTTAGGAAATGTACACATAAACACTTAGAGGTTAAAGAAAGAACAATTTCAAGTGTACATGTGACTATCGAGTGGTTCGGAAAATAAATTTAAAATACACACACACATTAGGAGTAAGAGAGCAAGCAATCGCACGAACTATAAAGCAAACTGGATAAAAGAAAAACCAAGTAAAGGATATATGAAGTTCTTTGTGCTATTCCTGAAACTTCTCTAAAGTTGCAATTATATCAACATGAAAGAAATGAGATTTATATAATTTTATCTTTATAAAACTGCATACAAAAGCATTTTGGGACCTAACAGGAAAACCTACGAATATACAGCATTACACTTGGGTGTCTCAAAACAACTGTGATGCTGTTCCTTCTCTCACCTTTCTAACAGATTGTGGATCGCTTTGAAGAGCAGTGTCCGACATTCATAGGAAAGGCCATTTTCCCAGAGTCCTTCTTCCACAACTGAAAAAAGCAAAACAAAACAAAAAATTGAACCAGTAAGTAGGACATCCAAATAAAAATAAACTTTTAAGACATTTTTCTAAAGCAAAGTTAATGAATTCATTTAGATGATCTCAAACTGAAACAGAGAAAGGAACTTAAACGCTTGCCAAAAGTCATAAAATACCTATGTACGGGAGGAAATAACATGTTTCAATTTTAAAGTCTTTGGAATGTAAGCATAGTACAACTCCTCTCCGGTAAAGGTCATTCCAACCCAATTTTTCAAAATTTGAAATCATTCAAAGCATTCAAATCGTTCTAATTTCTTTAAAAATTTTTTTCTTTCTTTAACTGTTCTAAAGGCAGTCTCTTAATAGGATTTTAAGGACATGACTTTAGGAAAAATGCCAGGAAATTAAATCTTAATATAAGATCAAATTTATTTCCTAAACTCATAATTTCATTAATGTCGGACATTTGGGGAAGTATCATATTTGCCTTTGAAATATATTATAACACTAAGCCCCAAGTAACTCTAACACCAAGAGAATCCAACAGACTAACAATGCCCCATGCATTCCTAACATTCTTTTCATATATAAAAGGATATAAAACGCCCTAGAGAAGACAGTTAATTTCCTTTTAAATTATATTAGTTCAGTTCAAGATAGCAAAAAATTGGAAGGATGGAAACCACATTTGCAGAAGAAAATTCTCTCTCTCTCTTACTTGTTATCTTGACAAAAGCACTCACCAGAGAAAATTCTGACAGAGAATTAAAACACACGCTAAGTCCACATGCATTTGTAATGCTTTTACCACACCAAGAGACATCTCGAAATCCATCTCCATATTCTCCAATCACACAGAATTAGAAAAAGTGTATTTACATTCATGGGGCTCATTGATAGCACTTTTTTTAAATTATAAAACTGGGTTTGTTTGGGTTTTTTTTTTGGTACGTCAGGTTTTTATTTTCCTATGTGGCTAACCATGATTTACCAAATTTTCCCAAAGCCACCTCTGTCAGAAACATTTTATTATTTATCACAAGAGAAACGTAAATAAATTACAGCAAATAAACAAATGTTCCACTAGCAACAGACGACTTCTGGTCAGGACAAAACAACCAACAGCTTTCTACAATCCTCTGAAAGTGGATTCTTTATAGATCTGTGTTCTCACACATCTATCTTCTGGGTAGAGCTTTTCCTGGGTGAGAAAGAGAGCTAACATTTCAATAAAATGAACAACACATATTAATTTGCTTTTCCTTCCTTATGTGTCTCATTGATTCTAAGACACCATCAATTTTTTTTAATGTTTTTGAGAGAGAAAGACAGTGCAAGCAGGGGCGAGGCAGAGAGAGAGGGAGTCACAAAATCTGAAGTAGGCGCCAGGCTCCCAACTATCAGCACAGAGCTCCACGCGGGGCTCAGACCCACGAACTGAGAGATAATGACCTGAACCTAAGTCGGACACTTAACTGACTGAGCCACCCAGACACCCCAACACCATCAATTTTCAGATGCATCATTATTTTATATATCGCTAAAGGTGGTGGGGTAAGCTCCTAATTAAACTATAACATGGCTCTAATCACTTAGGATTCTTAATTTGCAATTATTTAAAGTGCTCCTTTAGATTTATTGACATTTTTTTTTCAATATCATTACTGTACATACATAAAACGGATAATATAAGCTGAAGAGAAAAGAAAAAAGGTTAGAAATTCCTAAAACTTGGGGCGCCTGAGTAGCTCAGTAGGTTGAGTGTCCAACTCTTGATTGCCACTGAGGTCATGATCTCAAAGTTCGTGGGATTGAGCCCCATGTTGGGCTTCGTGCTTACAGCATGGGGCCTGCTTGGAGTATTTTCTTTTTCTCTTTCTTTCTGTCTCTCTCTCCCTCTCTCAAAATAAATAAACTTTTAAAAAAATTCCTAAAACTTCATCAGCATTCAAAGTGTAACTCTTCTGAATCACATTTTCCATCAGTCACTAATGTCAGTTAGTGTTTTCTATATAATAGTCTTTTGCGTCATAAAGAGTGCTGGTGATGTAGCATTTGTGAAAGAGTTGCATCTTTTTTCCAAGATTTTCTTCCAAGTTGGTGACAGCTATTCTGTATGTTGTTAAAAAAAAGTTAATCAAAATCTTCAAATACACTTTAACAGGCCCCCGTAAATTCTTAAACCAATTATCAACATTGTGTCATCTGTTTCAACCACCTTGCTTTCTTTTTGTTTTTCTTGATATACTTTAAAGATAAGAACATACTTTGGTATACAACAAATAAAGAACCTAAGCAAGGTCTATAAATTGCCTTTCATGTTATATCTCTTAATTCTCCTTAATCTATAACAGCTCATCTCCTTTGAACATGCATTAACTCACTGAAAAAAAACAGGTATCATATAGAATACTTCATATTCTATCTATTCTTATTGCCACCTCATGATACCATTTTTTAATGTTGATGCTACTTGGACCTTAACAGAAGATGCGAAAGTTTTCAAACAACCATAACTCTCTATTTCTTCCTCAAATAGTCCTGAAATATTTTAACTGAAATATTTAAGTGTTTAAGTGTTTAAATGTTATGTCATGCAAGGTGGAATACTAAACAAGTTTGAGCAATGCCAACTACACCACAATGGTAAGATACCATTATAATTTTATTGTGATTTCAACAATTTTAATTTTTTTTTTTAATGTTTATTTATTTTTGAGACAGAGCATGAATAGGGGAGGGGCAGAGAGAGAGGGAGACACAGAATCCGAAACAGGCTCCAGGCTCTGAGCTGTCAGCACAGAGCCCGACGCGGGGCTCGAACCCATGGACTGTGAGATCATGACCTGAGCCGAAGTCGGACGCTTAGCCGACCGAGCCACCCAGGCGCCCCTGATTTCAACAATTTTAAAACAGACTATAGAGCTGATTTTTTTTCCTTTGAAAAAATTCTTAAAAGAACAATTACAGAAGACCTACAATTAACATCATACTTAATGTTAAAAGACTGAATATTTTCCCCCTAATATCAAGAACAAGGCAAGGATGTCTGCCGTCACCACTCTTTTTCCAGCTTTAGAGGAGGTGTCAGCCAATACGATAAGGCAAGAAAAAAAAAATACCAATCATACTAATTCAAATAGAAGAAGTAAATATCTCTATTCATAGATGACATGACTGTTTGAAAATCCCACAGAATCAGCAACAACAACAACAACAAATAGTTACTAGATCTAAAACTGAATTTAGTTAGTTCACAGTATACTAGGGTCAACAGAAATTTTAAAAATCCTATTTCTATATACTTTAATGAATAAGAAATTACATTTTTAATTATCATTTACAATAGCATCCAAACCCACGAAACTCTTGGATATAAAACTTACAAATTATGTGCAAGAATTATACGCTAAAAACTACGATACTGATAAAAGAAATCAAAAAGACATAAATAAATGCAAAGGTATACATTGATCATGGACTGAAAAAGTTACTATTGTTATCAATATTAGATCTAGAGAGTCAACTAAACAAATCTAGAGAGTCAACTCGATTCTAATCAAAAATCTCTGCAGGACTTTTTACACAAGGAGATGCCAAGTCTACATATTTCTATGACAAAGCAAAGGAACTAGAATCACCAAAATAATATGGTAAAAGAAAAATATAGTTGGGAGACTTACACCACCTGATTTCTAGATTTACTAAAAAACTAGAAGTGACAACATAGCATAGTACTAGAGAAAAGTCAGATATATAGATCAACAGAATAAAGAGTCCAGAAATAGACCCGCAAATATACTGTCAATTAATTTCCAAAAAAGACGCAAAGGCAATTCAGTGGAGAAAGGACAGTCTTTTCAACAAATGGTGCTGAAATAAATGAATATCCTTATGCAAAACAAAACAAAACAAAAACTTCAAACTCTACCTCACACCACTTAGAAAAATTCAACGCGGTGCTGAGGTGGCTCAGTCGGTTAAGTATCTGACTTCGACTCAGAGCTTGGAGCCTGCTTTGGATTGTGTGTCTCCCTCTCTCTCTGCCCCTCCCCTGCTTATGCTTGCTCTCTCTCTCTCTCTCTCAAAAATAAGCATTTTTTAAAAAGTTAAAAATAAAACAAATTTTAGAAGAAGAAAAATTAACCCAATATTGCAAAACCTAAAATTATAAAATTTCAAAAACATAGGAGAAACTTTATATAAGCTTAGGTTAGCAAAGATTTCTTAGATATGACACCAAAAGCATGGTCCACAATGCAAAACTGTTAACCAGGACTTCATCAAAATGAAGACCTCTACTCTTCAAAACACATGTAAAAGTTATGTTAAGCTACAGAAAAGACAAGCCACAAATGAGGGATAAGCAGTCACAAATCATATATCAGACAAGAACTTGTATTTACAAATATGCTCTTCTGTTTTAAAACTACCAAAACCCAACACTAAGGGAGGGGAAAAAAAAGTTTAATGGACAATAGATCTGAACAGAGCTTCACCGAAAAAGGTATATAAATGGCAAATAAAAACATGAAAAGGTGCTTGAAACATCACCAATTATTAAGGAGATGAAAATTAAAATCACAATAAAATATCATCCATCAGAATGGCTTAAAAGAAAAACTGAGTACTACATGCTAGCAAGCATACACAGCAACTATAATGCTCATCTACTGCTGAAAGGAATGCAAACATAGTACAGCCACATTGGAAAAGCTGACTTTGACAATATTTTCTGAAGTGAAACACATATTTGCCATGCAGACCAGCAATACCCATCGTAGGGGTGTGTGTGTGTGTGTGTGCGCGCACACACACACACACCCATACATATATACATTTATATATGTTGTTTTTTTTTTCAAGCAGAGTAAGAACTGTGTCCACATGAAAAACTGTAGCAAATGTTTATATGTGTCTTCCCCCCCCCCCACCCCAAAATAATGCCAGGAACTGGAAACCACCCAAAAGTCCCTCCACTGGAAAGAACAAAGAGTAGATACTCCA